CACCCAAAGTCACACTTCTGTCAGTAGAGCTATTACTACTAAATTTACATTCCATGTATTCAGTTTTAGTTCTACTTAAACGAAGGCCTTTAGACTCCAATGTAGACCTCCATAATTCAAGTTTTTCCTAAGCTCTTTTTCTAGTCTTATCCACAAGAAGGATATTATTAGCGAAAAACATACACCCAAGTACATTATTCTGTAAATTTCCAGTAAGAGTATCCATAACGAAAGCAAAAAGATATTGGCTTAAAGTCGATCCCTGAAGTAATCCAATTGTAATAAGAAAATAGTTGATCAATCCTTCTTCTGTTTGAACACAAGTAACAGCTCAATTATACATATCTTTAATGATATGAATAAAAGTCATATCAACACATTTCTTCTTTAGAACTCTCCAAAGAATATTTCTTGGAATCTTATCGTAAGTTTTTTTTCTAAATCAATAAAAATCATATGTAGATCCTTCTTACTCTCTGAACTTCTCGATCAAACCTCTAAATAAATGTATAGCTTACATGGTAGATCTGCCGGCATAAAATCAAACTGATTATGAGAAATCTTTGTACTACGTCTTAACCTATGCTCAATTACCCTCTCCTATAATTTTAAAGTATGGCACATTAACTTAATTCCTCTATAACTTGAACACTCTTGTGCATCCCCTTTATTCTTAAAAATGGGGATCAAAATACTCTTCCTCCACTCAGGCATCTTTTTAGTTTTTAAAATAATATTAAAGAGTTTAGTAAGCCAAGAAACTCCTAAATCTCCCAAATATTTCCACACTTCAATTGGGATATCATCAGGTCCTACAAACTTTCCACCCTTGGTTTTCTTTAAGCCCTTAATCATGTATTAGAGGAGATGAATTAGGGTAGAGTATGGTTTGGGGGGTGGGGTTGGTGGAATGTATGCGTGTGTTTTGGGGGTGTTTTATTAGGGCTAATCACCTAGGATTTGCTTCAATATTTTAGATTCATGCATTTTTGTTTGCTTCTTATTCCTTACGGTGTCTAGGAATTGTGGAGAGTCGATCTATCTCTCGAATTGTAGATCACCCATTGTATCTAGTTTATTTGCTTGAAGATTAATCAAATTAGCCCTAACTTGAGTTTTCTCATATATTTCTTGCAATTTGTTCATTGCTTTTGGCTCCAATTCGTTTCAAATTGATATTATTGCAAGATTTTGGAGAGATGGCATAAAGAAACGTTAATCCTTTAGAAGACAGATTGGAAGTAGGACAAATTAAAACTGGGATGGTGGAAAGGTTCTCAACCATATAAGGAAAGTTTTCCTCCATGGAAAATTGATTTGAAGGCTTGAAGGAGATGATGAGGAGAATTATTGAGATGCAATCCAAAATCCCGTTGGCGGTTGAAATTGCAAACCCTAACCAAGGTTTGACCGGAGAATCCTTGGCTAAAGCTAAAGCGAAAGAGATTGGACGAGAAGAACATGAGGAGGAAAGCATCCGCCATCAAGAACCTCCTCTTAGGGTTCCGATGGGGGTTGAATTAGGGATTTCTGAGGGAGGAGGTTGGGTCGAAACAAGAAGAATAAGTTGTGCAAGGGGTATGGAAGAGTACGAAGAAGGAAGAAGAAAAGTCTGGATGGGGTATGACTATCAGTAGAGGGATTTTTAACGTATGGGAGGAACCACCTGAGGGAGGGAAAATTAGGGTGGAGATGCTAGGGTTAGGATGTTGAAGATGCTGATCTTCGAGGAGGAAGATGCACATTGTTGGGTGTACCGGGTGGAGTGATATTTTACTTTCCAACTTTGTTCTAACAATTTTTATTCTAGATGGAAAGAAGAATACAATTGCTCATACTTGTGCCGAAATGCCTATATATGATAGCTTTTTTGTTAGGAATGTTGATAGTTTGCATTTTCTTTTTTCTTTTGTCGATTTTGTTTGGGCCCTATTTTGTCTGGCTCGGTTCTCCTTTTGTACTTTTTTGTAAATTTTTGGGTTTTATTAATGCAAAAATGCATATTTGAAGGGTGGAGCGATATTTCACAGTGAATGGGCTAAATGAGGAGGAGAAGCTCGTGACCGCTGAGTTATGCTTGAAGGGGAAAACTCTTGCATGATTTTAGTGGAAGGATGCTTGATATCCGATTCGTTCGTGGGTGGAATTCAAGGATTGCTTGGTGCATGTTTCTTTCTTTTTTGAATTTTAAGACTATAGATGCCTGTTTTGTCTTGTTTCTGGTATCATCTTTGTATCAGAGCATGGTCCTTACATTTCTCTTCTCTTCCTTCTCCGAGTTCTTGCACATTTCATCAATTTTTTTTCATTTTGTTGAATTTCTCATTTTTTGGATTTCGGTCCAGAATTTGCAAACAAAACTTGTTTAGAATTAGAGAACAAAACTCTATCTTCTGTCCAGATATTTGGTTTTCTTTGCAATCCCTATTTGTTGATTTCTGCCAATTTTTTCTACTATGACAACATTTTATCTGCTGTCCAGCCGTGGGTTTCTTCTGTCCAACCATGGATGTTGATAATCTTCCATCTTGGGTATCTTGATTCCAATTCTTGCCCAGAAATTTCTAACAATTTGTTGTCCTTGCATTTTTTTGTGGTTCTTTTTGCTCTCAATCAGTAGCAACAAAAATGTTTTCTAGCCGCGGGGGAGTGCTATTACAATGAGGGAAGGAATTACATCTGCTATACAATGCTTCAAATGTCATGTGTTTGATCACATAGCCTCGACTTGTCCTAATTTGCACATTATTTTATTGGTGGAGAATAGGGCTGTCAAAACGGCTCGCTGTTCGCGAACAGCTCGTGTTCGGCTCATTAAGAAGCCCGTGTTCGGCTTGTTAATTTCGTTCGATAAGTTAATGAGCCGAACACGAACTAAGATGTGTTCGTTCGTGTGCTTTTTCTGATGAAATTCGGCCCCAAATAGAGCCTAAGGTCGGTATATATATATATATATTAAGTTGTATTTTAAAAAATCTAAAGATACAACTAAGCATGGAACCTTACTTACAAGGATGTCCTCAGTTTGGTTACCCATTACAGAAAGCCAATTTGCAGGTTGGTTTCGTTCACTTGGAATGAATGTCCAAGTAGTATGTATGTTAGAGATGAGTGAATTGATCCTCCCAATCCAGTGTGTGAGATGCCAAGGGGTGTCTATAAGGTCATTTAGTATTTGCACCAAAAGTAATGAATCCAACTCCATGTCCTCGAAATATAAACGAGCCGAACACGAGCTGAGCAGGAAAAATGATGTGATAGAACACTTTTTGGCTCGCTCGTGTTCGGCTCGTTTACACCCCTAGTGGAGAAGGTTGATCAAGAGAAAAATGATGTGATAGAAAAAGATACTAACCCAACGAGGGACCAAATCCTATAGGTGGAAGAGAGAAAATTACTTGTGATAAGACATCTCCTAAGACTCAAACATTTTTCCAATAAAGATTGGTTACAACGTAACATTTTTAGAACTCGATGCACAGTTTGGGACAAAATTTGTAATTTTATCATCAATGGTGGAATTTGTGAGAACGTGGTTGCAACAACCATGGTGGAGAAGATTGGGCTAACTTCTAAAACTCATCTCTATTCATACTAACTCACTTGGCTCAAGGAAGCTGAAATTAAAGTCAATCGGCAATGCATGGTGTCGTTTTCTATTGATCGAAAGCTTCAAGAGCAGGTTTTATGTGATGTAATTCCTATGGACGCTTATCACTTTTTGTTTGGTCGGCCTAGGTAATATGATCGTCGTACAATTCATGATGGGTATGTTAACACATTCCTATATCAAAAAGATAATTCAAACCACTTTGGTGCGTATAAGGAGATTCAGGTGGAGACTGGAATCAATACTTTTACTTCTTCATTGCTTTTGAAAGATCTGAAAGACACCGCTATGAGGTACCTTTTGATCATAACCAAGAGTTTCGAACAGCCACCTGCACCTCCTTCCAAAGTGCAGAGATTGATACAATAGTTCAAAGACATTTCAGGCAGAGATTCTTGTAGGATTGCCTCCTATGAGAGGTCCACCATGCAATTGACCTTTTGCCTGTTTAGATCATCCCCAGCAAACCTGTATATAGGATATCTTCAGGGAGGACTCCAGCCGCAGGGTGGGGCCCATTAAGCCCCTAATCACATTTACAAGGAGAGGAATTAGGGGGGTTTTTGGGGGAGTTTGATGTGTTTTTGGGGTGTCTTATTAGGACTAATCACCTAACGTTTACTTTCACGTTTTGGATTCCTAAAAATTTTTTTATTTTTTATTTTTAATCTTCTTGTACCTAGCAATGCCTCGCGATTTGGGAGAGTCGGTCAACCTCTCGAATTTTAGATCACTAATGTTTCTTGTTTTTTTACTTGGAGATTAATAAAATTAGCCCTATTTTGGTTTTACCCACATATTTCTTGCAATTTAGTTGCCGATTTTGGCTCCGTTTCACTTCCGTTTGTTAACATAAAGAACTGTTTTTAAACTTCAAGGGCTTTTAATTCTATGATAAGGAATCATTATAGCTCTGCTTTAGTTACTATCCATTTATGAGGCTCTTAGCATTTGTATTTGCACTATTTTTCATACATTTTCATTTATTATCTTTTAACATATGGATCTGGGCTTTCTTTTAAAGAAGTTTGTTAATAAAATGGGTTGCTTTTCAACGTTAAAGGTTTTTCTTACTCTATGATAAGGGTTGTTCATAAGCATAATGTTATAGTATGCTTATTGTACTTTTATTTGCAATAGTGATTCATAATATTCTGATAATTTCAGATTATTCTGATAATTTCACTGCTCTCTTTAACCATTAAGCTTTGTTCTTTGTGTACAACAGAATCAAGCATACATACATTTTGGATGATCCTTTTGATGATCCATCTCAGCTTGCTGAATTTGTTCCTGAGAAATCTCCAGAGGGAAAACCACCTGAAGAGGTACCTTTAACAATTTTTCGAACTGCTATGAAATTTTTGTTACGAGCAACGATTGTTTACATTTTTATTTTTATGATAAGCGTTTGAGTTGGCATCTCAGGTATCATGTGATGTTTTTCTGCATATAATATGGTCCGTCTTTCTGCGGTCATGTATTGCCTTAACATGTATGGTGTCCGTGTTTGGTTCTCTATGTGGGGCTTGTGGGAATTGTAGTAAGAATGGTTCAATCTTTTTGTGACTTAGATTTATGTTTTTTATCTTCCCGTTGGTTTCTTAATGCTGATGACTTTGCTTAATGCTTTGCTATGAAGGTTTTGTGTCATACTGAATACATTGAAGCAGATACTGGATGCACATCCGGTATTCTCTGGATTAAGAGTTCAGGATTTACACCTTGAGTTCTATTTCCATTTGTTTAATGCATACCTTTTTTTTGTTTGATAGATTGATGTTTTATCTTTAATTACTGATATAGTCTTTTTGGAGTAATAGCTATTACTTTTGTAAGATAAAAATATATAGGTCTAGCAAGCCATAAAATTTTTATATAGAAGAGAATTCTATGGGAAGCACTGAAATGAACTTGGGTTTCATGCTAAGAACTTTTTTATGATTTTTGAGACAAATGGTATGTTAATGAAAGAAAACAAACATTGTAATTTTCGATTAATTTTACTGGAGGCCTCTAAGAGTTTGATATGAATGTTTCTTGTGGATCCTTCTTTGGAAGCATGCAAAGGTAAGCATAAAACAGGGAATTCACCAATATTCATGGCGCTAAAGTGTTTGCCTTGGATTCATGTGACTGCTAAGTTAGAGTGTATGAAGGGATTTGAAGGATTTATGGAGCAATATTAATTAAAAAAAAAAAAAACTAATATTGCCTGTGCATCAATAAAAGATTGACATCTCTAATTCATCCTTTCCGCCAACTCCATGCATTAGATTACAATGAACTTTATCAAAGTGCGTTTTCTAGTGATTTTGGCTTAAAAAATTTACTAAATTGTGGTTTCTGGGATATTATCACGTAAAAAATGCAACCTGCTCTCTCAAGCCTCTCGACATGTAAGATAGATTTGATTTATTTTAATCATATTTCCCCTAATCTTATACCAGCATTTATTTAGATATGGGGTTGACATTTCCTAATGGTACAATACCTCATAGTTATTTACACTTTCAGCTTATGGGAGGGCACTCTCGGTCAAGGAGTTGACACAAACATCTCCTGCTGTTGGACCCGACATGGTTTCCGGGTTGCGAGGGTTGCAGAGCCGAACTGAATGACACTCAGCTGATTTCTTTCCAAAATTTAGCAAGTTTTTTCTTTCTATTTTTCTTTCCTTCATTTCTTGTCCTTTCTTATATATGTGTTGTATTAGGGTATAGATTTCAGATTTTTGGTGAGTTTTTATCGAGACAGCCATCAACTTCTCCCTTATCCCTTTGAGGGTTATATCAGAGGATTTGAGTAGTGGTTTGGCAGCATTTCTCTTCCGAGGTAGTGACTATTTTCCCTATTCCCTTCTACATAATCTCCACATCACTCTCACCGACCGCCATTGCTGCAGCCGCTTCCGTACAGCAGCCCGTTGCAGTTTTCACTACTGTTTTCCAATTCCAACCATTTGTCATCGCCGCCGCCGCCTTGGATAGCTGCCTTTTTGCTATCCTGCAGTCCGCTGCATCCCACCGTCGCCCCTGCTTTCATTTCCTCTTACTGCAGCCAACCCAGAACATTGCCTCTTTGTTGTTCCCTTGTATTTCCAGCCGTCCAGCCTCCCTTTTCTCTCATTCCATCTTGTTGTCATTGCCGCAACTCCTCCCATTTGCTGCCACTGTCATCCTCCCTTGCTGGTGTAGGCCATAATAACACCCACCACCTTCCTCCCTTGTTGTTGTAGGCCATAACAACACCGCCAATCCACCCCCCCCTGCCCAACCCCCTCTTTCTTGTTGCCCTAGCTTAGCACCTCCCCCTTGCAGTTACTCACAGAACTTTGCTGTCACCATGCCTTCAACCCTCCCCCACCCTTTACTATCTCTGCGGAGGACTACACCCTGGCCAATCACCTCCACCAACCTGAAAGCCGCCGAGTTTGAGTGTTTGTGTCGTATCTATTTTTATTTCTATCTCCATTTGTGAGATTGTATTTCCTTATTTTGAATTCAACAATAATATTTGATTTTTCTATTGTTGGTTGGATAAACTCTGGTATCATTTGGTATCATAGCTAGCCTAAATCTACTCTTATCCTAGGATTTCTAGTATCCACCAATACCCAACCCATCTCTTTACAAAAATCCCTCCCTTTAACCTAACGTAAACCCAAAGCCCAACCATGTCATTGAAGCGACAGTTGTCGAAGACCTATTTGGTAAGAAAAGTTATAATGTTGTTTATGAGAAATCAGTAAAGATGTTTGGGAACCTTCTATAGAGGATGTCCGGTAGGAAATCATCCAACTGCAATAGAGGCTCACCGCCTTTGAGAAGAGGATGTTTGGGAACCTTCTACAGAGGATGTGCGGTAGGAAATTATCCAACTGCTATAGAGGCTCATTGCTTTTGAGAAGAGGAAATTCAGAAGGGTCACTCGCACACACGATCTGCCAGATTGAAAGGATACAATGATTCCACTAGGCAGATTGTAGAGAAGGACAACTATGCTGAAGACTTGGCATGAAATATTATAGAATCCAGGATTTTGAAGTAAAAAATTTGACGACCATATGAATCCAAACGACCTCATAAAGTGGCTCCGTACTGTTGAACTCGTCTTTGAGTATCAAGGCGTCCCATCAGACGGAATGGTGAAACTAGTTGCCATCAAGTTATGGAAGAATGCATATTTTTGATGGGAGAACATACAGATTCTTTGACAATAGAAGGGAAGAGTAAAATTATTACTTGGTCTAAGATGAAGCAAGAGATGCAATGCCTGTTTTTACCAGTCCTTTACAAACAGAATGTTCAGACCCTAGCTTCAAAAGTGGAGAGACAATTTCATCAAGTGATCGTCACATCATACAGACATAGTTTAACCCTTGTATAAAGCAGTAACAACACACCTAACAGAGTATCCAAGCTGACCCCGCATAAAGAGAAAACTAGTTCAGATGGAGAACTGGTGAAGCCAATAAACATTCCTAAATATGTCCTAGCCAGAAAATATTTCAAGTGCCATGAATTTTGACAAATTGAATTAGATTGCACAAACATGAGAATAATCTATTTTGTTGAGCATGACATTGTTGATGAAACGAGCAACGGCACAGTAGACACTGAAGAATATCAGGATACAAATGATGAGTATCAGATTTCAATTGATGAGAGAGAAATGCACATAGTTCTGAGCTTTTGAGAGAGACTCCAATAGAATTAACATTGGTGGTCCAAGATATTCTTAAGTTTGAGGAACCAACACCAAACACATGGTAACCCCAGATAAGAGAATTTTAGACTTTTTAGATATATAGTCTATTTCTTGGGTTGCCTCTACCGAGGGAGGTCATACATGTTAGAGACGAGGCTCTTTTGCGTCACTTATGGAAAACTATATAGAGTCATTTGGGTAATAAAAGTAGTTCAGTCGTGTACCCACCAACATATTATCAGAGATGATGGATGAACTATAAAGTTGGAAATCGCCTTAAGATCTTTGGGAACATGAACATCCTACAGTGGAATCCAAGTTCTTTCCGAGAAGAAGAAGATGCCTCTCATGTGTGGTTAAGCTTTAGTGTGCCTCAACCTGCCATAAATATTATTTCAAAGTTGATTCTTTCTGACATACTTGTTTATCAAATGTATCGAATCGAGTATGAGTGGGAGAAACGTATTATAAATTTAGTTGGTCAGGATTTGGCTCATGGGAATCTACACCGATATGTAGATCTAGCTCAAGTTGTGCCAAATTGGATGGTTACTTATTATATCAGGATGTGCTTTGGTATGACAATGACTACATGATTAACTTACTGGACGTTTGTAATATTTTCGCTACCTTCAACGGGGCCTACTTGATTACTCTGAGGAGGCAGAAGCTTCGACATATGAGATTGAAGCTCCTCCAATCTGGAGAGACTGAAACGAGTATCTCACGCGTAGGATTTTTGGCGACACACAGTTGATGCAGGCGTCGCGCACACACAGGAATTCTTGCAGCTCGCAAACTCCCGTTTGCTTGCCTGGACTAAACCATTCCAGGCCTTTCTCTGTTTTGAGAGTGCTGACCGGTTTCTTGGCCCACTTTTTAGTTATCATATTATTGTAAATTCACATTCATGGGAGTTTTAGAGCAAGTTTTTTGTGAGTTTTTTGTTGGGGAAACCATCAGTGTCTCCAAGATTCTCTTTTAGGGCTTTATCTAAGTACAAGTGTTGCTCCTGTTGTATCTTTTTCTGAGGTGGTAATTTTTCTCTAAGGGTCGAGTGACGCTCCAGTTGTATCTTGCTCCCAATGTGGTATTTATCTTCAACTTTCCCATATTCTACACTTCTCTCTTTCAACTTGCTTCCACCTTTCCGAAAACCCCACTTCCCCGTTCTTCTTGTTGCCAACACCTCTAAACCGCCTTCGTCCTTGTTGTAACCGCACATGACAACACTCATCTTGCTGTCCTGAGTCTACAACCCTTCATTTTCGTTAGCCCTCGCTGTCCCAACCCCCCGCTCCTCTGCCCCTACTGTTCCAGGCCTTTTGCCTTATTTCCATCGGAGTTGCATCCCCTCATTTATCATTTCCAGCAGCCCCACAACCCATTCTTGCCACCTATCACCACTCTCTGCCACCTTGCCGACCCCCAACACCCACAAATTGATTCTTAGAGTGAGTTTGTGCTATCTCGTTGCATTTTTTATTTTTATGTGTTTGGTTGTAACCACTTTTTTGGCTTTTTTGGTGTTAATATCTTTGTTCCTATTATTTTTTAGGTAAACTCCGGTATCATTTGTTATCAGAAAACTCACGAGTGACTTTAGACCGTGGAAGTT